AAGAAAAGGCACAAAAAAAGACACAACAAGAAGAAAATGAAAAGGCCATTTCTAATGCAATCAAAGAAGCAAAGGTAATTATTAACCTTTTAAGGACTTTTCTTTTTTCTTTTTAACCTCATCTATACTAATTAACAATTTAAATTAAACTTGTTGATTTTTAATGCTTAATAATTAATATGAATATATTAGAATGAACACACCGAATCCATCATATTTCTTCTTGATTTTTTCCGATTGGTCCACTTCCAACAATTAAACATCGTTCAATTATCAGAATTGGAATCAGAAGTGGTTGAAACGCTTCGTGCTAAACTTACTACAATGGCTGAAGAAGCCAAAAACGAAGAGTTGAAAGATCAACGTGTCAAAGATATTTTGGATAATGTTAATAAGTTACAACATAGCGATGAAAATATTATTATGAATTTGTTTACAAATAGTATCGTCGTACAAGATTCTAACAATAAAAATGAGAATGATAATAACAACTTGGAACAAGAAATAACTTGTAAGCTCCTTTTTTTTTGTTTAAAATTAAATAATATGATCTATACATATGTCGATTAATTGCTAATCCTAAAATTTTTTAATAGACTCTCGTGTTAGATCATTGATACAAAGTCCACCAATATTAGAAACCACCGAAGTCCAGCTTGAACAAGAAGATATTGACGATGACACAAATAACAACATTAACCAAGAAGAATTTGTCATCATCAACAAAGAAACAGAAAATAATGCTGGTTTGTTATCTATCTATATATATACACACACACACACACACACACATATATATAATTATCGATATACTAATTTAAAATTTTCACTTTCAAAGATAATAATAGTACATCTAATATCAATAAAAGTGATTTAGATCAAGGTACAATAATTTTATTTTATATTATACGGTTGTTTACTAATAAAATGAAATCTTAACGATTATTAATTCCAATAGATGAAAAATTGCAAATCCAACCAGAAATAGAAACATCAATCGAAGAAACTTCACAAAATCAAACTGTTCAAGAAAGTGTTCGGCTAGCAACTGATGATGTAACCGATACTATAGCAGCTGCACGATTAAATCAAACTGCTGAAATAGAACATCAAGCATCACCACCACCACCACCACCACAAATATCACAGCAATTTCATTACCCTGAACAAAATCCCATTGAACAATCAAATCAACACGATGATGATACAAATTTAACTCAACAACAACCGTCAAATGTCGACGTAGTTACAAATGATGATAATAATCAGCAAATCTCACAAGAACAATCAGTCACAACATCTCAAGAATACGTTATTCAACCAACTCAAATTTCAAACGACGAAAATTTAACTCAATCGATAACAGAGCCTATATCTACTATACCTACATCTGTAACTGATACACAACAACAATCACCGCCAATAGTATTATCACAACAACAAACCTTTGAATCTGAATCACAAAACCAACAATCATCCAAACCGCAAATAAGACAATTCGTATCCAAGCAACTTGGCGATACTCAACCCCCACCATTAACACCAAGAAATCAAGGTAATTCAAATAGAGGTTACCGCCCAGCTTACCGCAATAATAGTAATCGCACCGGTGGTAACAATAACAGTGGTGGCAATAACAACGGTGGATATAATAATAATAGAGGAGGAGGCCAAAGTCAAAGAAGGGATAGCGGTAGTTATAATAGTGGAAATTACAACAATAGCAATTATAATAACAGCAATTATAATAACGGTGGTTATAATAATGGCGGCTATCATGGTGGTCCTCGTGGTGGTGGTGGTGGCGGTGGCGGTGGTGGTGGTGGTGGTAATGGAGTTGGGACTCGTGGTGGAAGAGGTTAGTTTTTTCTATAAAAAAAAACTTAATGATATTTATTAGTTTGTATTAATAATGTTTGTTTATTTTTTAATTATATATTATTGAAAACAGGATCACGCAACGGATCATTTAAACCACGTCCGCAATAATTATATATATAAATATTGTAAATACAAAAAAAATTATTTCTTTCTTTATATCTAAAGTGATAAGTTTTAGATACTTCAAAAAAAATTTTTCCAAAAAAACCAAACGAACAATTTCCTATTTTAATTTCTTTTTTTTAAAAAATCTATCTTTTATATATATATATATTAATATATTTATATTTATTTATATTTATATACATGGTTTTCTTTTAAATATATATAAATTAATGTAAAAATCTTTTTTTGTTAAATAATTGTCGATTGGTTTTTTTTAATTTTAATAAAAATTTTTTTTAAAAATAGTTGATATACAAAGGACTTTTTTAAGACAAGGTAGATAAAATAAATTTTACAAACTTAATCAGCATAGACCTCAATAATAATAGCTTAATCAATCAATATATTGCTTTGTTTTGTGATAGATGAATCAAGATAATAAATCCTTTTTCATATATATGTATATATAAAAGATTGATTTTTATTTACAATTCAAACTTATATTTATAATCTATATATATAATAATGTTCAAATCATATTTCAAATGAGAAATTCTGAAAAAAAAATCTTGATAACAATGATGATAATAATAATAATAATAATAATAATAATAATAATAATATCTATTATATAAATTTAAATAATAAAATGAGATTTTCTTCAAAATTGATAATCATAATAATTGTTTTATGTGTGATTTGTTATTTTCTTAAAATGGTTTCATAAAATGAAAGAATGACCCCTGCTCCTGCTCCTGTGTAAATTAAATTATCCGGAACAAATTCATGGATATCTTCAACCCAATCAAAATTTCCGTTAGAAATTAGAAATATTCCATATTTAGCAACCGAAAAAACAAGAGGACTGTAGGTGTGATGTTGAGGCTCAAAATTAATGATGAAAGAAATGCCAAGAGGTAACAGCAGAAGATAAAAGAAAAGACATATCAGTGGACGCCAAAATCTATGCCAATCAATGAAAAAAGTAATGTCTGGGGCGTATAGTCCATAGCTATTTGTTTTTTCATCGAATAAACTTGGAATCGAGATGGTGGTAATCTTAAAAAGTTTATTAATTAATAATTAATAATTAATTAAATTGACTGATGATATAATAATGGATAATCAATGTCACTTATTTATAAACATCATTTATTTGTTAAAAATATCTCGATATACTAACCTCATAATTCCATTCAATTGCATGATAAATAAATACTAGAAATTCTATGAAAAAAATTATTTGTAAAAATGCTTGAGGGTTGGATAAATTCTGGATTTCAAATATTTAAAATAAATAATTAAACAAGGTTGAATAAAAACACCGCATATAATAAGAACAGCGAATTCATATATATATACAATTAGAAAATTTATGTGACGATCTTTTTATATAATGAATCGTACTACTATATAATGAAGTTTTTGTCAAAACCAAAACTTCATTATATTGAGCGTCAACTATAATAAGAATAAATGATGATGGTCTACCGTTCTCAATTTAGGAATATAACTCTTGATCTTCTCAACATTTAAGGAAAAACTAAGATTAGTAGTGATGGGTTGGCCAACGATATGTGAAATTTCTTGATTCTCTTGGTTTTCTTGTTGGGAACTAGTTTCAGCCAAATTTATTTCTTCAATTTCTGTTACTGATCGAATTGTTTCACTAATAATCATTTCCTATAATGAATATTATAGATGCAATAATTAACTGTCTATTCAAAACAACAATATAGTTTTTAATATTGCTTTTATTTGTTCACCTGTTTAATTTCGTTTTCAACTGATTTTAAAGATTCGTCATCAGAGCTGGATCTTTTTAATATAAATGAATATAAAAAATTAAATGATTTTTATAAGAGCATATACACAGAATTTATTTTTTTGAAAAAATAATATCTAACCTATCACCATTGGTAGAGTGCCTAGATCTTGTGTTAGTATTATTTAAGTTTCTTTGGCGACCAGAGCGACGTGGTGGAGCTTCGTTTTCTGATAACAGCTCTGGATTTCTGAGACCTAAATGAGTTCTTGATATTTTATTATTATTAGAACGTTAGACAAAAAAAAAGTAACAGTAAATAATACTGATAATAAAAAGTAATAAACTAATACTTGATTCTACTTTCAAGTTCGTTTCGTAATCCAGTGGTGCTTAATCCAAGATCTTGTGCGATTTCTGAACAAATAAACTGTTTCGTTATTGAAAAGTTCTCATTCCATTCACTATAATAAACTACAAGATTTATATATAAGCCCTAATTTCTTACAGATTCAAATACCTTTAAGTTCGTTTTTTTTCTTATTTTTCAAAGTGTTTAGTGTTAAGGACATCGTGTTAATAATTTAACTAGGTTTTGGAAAAAAAAAATACCAATTTTCTCTTTAAGAATTAAAAAAGATCATCAATTTCATCGCTTCCGTACCACATTTCAGAAATTGATATTCTGGTGTAACAATCTTAAATTTTGGGAAATCACGTTTATTTAATATTCAAGTTTATATAAAAATACATATAAATAAATAAATAAATAGGTTAAATCACTAAAACAAAATTATTCACTAATAAATCTAATTCGTTAGTATTAGCCTATTCATTTGATCCACATAAATTAATAAAAATCTGTTATCATCAATTAAAATACACTCTCCCAAAATTAATTGGTGACAATATTAATGAGCATCAACAGCAACTTGCTAAGCCAAATTCATTGATGGAAAATTACCAAGCAATTCCAAAAGTGATTACTATGTTTTTTGATGGCTTTATTGGAGTAATATTAAAACATCATCATGAGTTGAGGCAATATAAAAGAAAATATTACAATTTAAAAACAAAGATTGATGATACAGAACAAGATCCAATGCAATTAATTAAAATCACTACCTTTTTATCATCTATCATCATAAAAATGGCTTTTAGGAGATCTAAGATTTGGTTTACAAATTTATTTGCAAGTTTATGCAGAAGACCCCAATTCTTAGGATCACTTCAGTTGATATTACGTTCACTTCATGTAATATCACATACTGAAGATCATGAACATCATTTGGAAATAAAAAGAATGGAAAAGGTTGATCCTAAATCTAGAATTATAAGTGGTCCTAATATTTGGCCATTAGTTGTCATAGATAATTTAGATACAAAACAAAAAAACATTCAAGCATAATAATTATTATAATGAAGGAAGAACATCATTCCATGTTGTGCTTAGAATATGCTTTTTTTTTATTCTTCCTTTACCTATTTGTGAAATTGTTGGTGAAGAATCAATGATTTATGAAAAAAAAACCATATTTGGATTTAATCAATTTTCTTCTGAAAAAATAAAACTCTTTGAGGATTTTTTTAAAAGATTATTAAATTATCAGACCTCATTAAGTGGTGCAAGTTTTAATAAAGTTGATGATGAGGAAATCTATCAAGAAATCATTAAACATATTCCAAAAGGAACATTAGTACCACCACCAAAAGTTGTGATTTTAGAAGCAGGTGGAAAGCCTGATGATGATCAGGGCATTTATGAATCAATCGAAATGTTTCTGGATGAAATTAATACAGCTGATGGTTTTTTGGATATAGCTGCTGATGAGGCAATATTCAGAAGGATTATAAATTACAAAAAAATCATAAATCCTGATATTCATATTCGTCATATTCTGGGCCAATGGCACACTAATAAAGATATGTGTAGTGTGCTCATCAACATTTTTTCAGGATATGGGATTTTTAATTTAGCAAAAGCTTTTGGTGCTAAACACTTGGCCAATTTTCAAAAAATAGTTGATTACAGGGCAACCTCAAGGCTGTTGGAATTGATTTGGGTAGGAGTAGGCACGGCTTTAAGTATTTTTACAACTAAACATCAAGTATCTATTGATGAGCTTTTAGAGAATCCTCCAAATAGTTTCATTAAAGTATGGATTTTGTACTGGAGGTGGTCGAGTTTATTGAGGTTTCATAAATTAGGTATCAGAATAGGAAATTGGGATTTTCAAATAGAAAGTTTAAGAGCATTTGGTCCCTTGTTTCCTGTTGCGGGCAAAGTGAATTATGCAACATCAGTTTGTCATTTTTTAGCTATGATTAATAAGGATCCTCAACTTGATGCCATTTTAAGAACTGTTTCTTCAATTAATTTAACAAGACTTGATCATTATCTTGGGTTTGATGAAGCCTTGGAAACTTGTGGTGTTAAATTTGTCAAACAATTCATTACAAAATCACTAGCAGATGAAGAATCACTTAAATTACAAATAAAATCTGTACAAGATGAGAAAGAGCGACTGAACTCTTTTCTTTTTGAATTTGTAGATTCCAAAAAAAAAAATCCAGGGAAATACAAAGCAAATTCACTTAAAGAACCATTGTGGAAATTAACAACAAATTTATTAGATCTGTTTGAAAATTTTGATTCAAATATGACTCATCATTTAATTGAAAAGGCACCTGAGTTAACAACTGATGGTTTTAATTCACTTTTCAATAGTTATGATATTGGTAAAAGAAGGATGGAAACCCTATTGAACCAAGAAGTTTATGGAACTGGAGAGATAAATACAATTGGTCGTAGATCAACAAATGTAAAAGTATATATGAAAAACTTGTTGAAATTTATTCAAAAAAAAAGAGAAAGGAAAAGCTTGAAGAAAATATAGAAGCAACTGAAAGACCATCTAATTTTAAGAATAATCCTATTGATCTTTCTGTTCCAATTGAAGAAGGTGAAAGTAGTAATAAGAGACGAAGAACAACAGAACATGAGCATTCCATCCTGGATCCTCTTGTTGAAATGTATACTAAACCAACCAAGGATCAAATTAACAGAGCAATTGAGAAAACAAGATGGGATAGAAAAAGAGTTCTAGGTTATGTTGATAAACATAGGAAAAAAAAAGAAACCCAACAACAATAAATAAATACATTATATTTTAAAATAGATTTTTTTTATTTTTATTTATCACAAAATTGCAAATTAATATTAATAAATAATTAATAATTGTGGCATTTCACTTTTTTTTTTTTAATAAAAAATTGCTATACAGTACACTCTCTATAATGGATCATTGGGACCAAAAAAATTTATCTGTTATTATCATCATCTAATTATTATTATCATCATTATTATTATTGTTATTAGAAATTTTTGCCGCACCAAAATTGAATAAAAAAAAGATTTATTGTTATTATTGTTATTATTGTTATTATTGTTATTATTATTATTATTATTATTATTAATTATTATTATTGTTATTATTATTATTATTATGAAAGTATATAAAATAATAATGTACATTAATATTAAATATGTATATAAATTCATTATTGAAGCTTAAAATATTAACATATAAACAAAAATATTAATTACAAAAAAAAAAAAATATTAATAACATAATCCTCTACGTGTTTCAACATCTGAATCTGCTAATTCACTACTTCTTGTTCTTAGTTCTTCGATTTGTTCCATCAATCCTGCTATCAATTCCTTATCAACCTCGCCATCTTTTTTTGCTTCTTCTCTTATCTCTCCTTCAAGTTCACCTAATAATTCACTCAACACTTGTTCCGGAAACATTTGTCCGTATGTTGCCCCAAAAAAATGTGATAATTTACGTATACCTCTTAATCGTAATTGTTTATGTTTTAAGTGTTGATGTGATTGTGTTGATTCTTTTGAAGACAATAAGTCAAAATCCATCGTTAAAGAGGTTTCTAGTGGTGTAGCTGGCGCAGAAGAAGATATAATATTTAAATCATAATCTTCTTCAATTTCCAACGAATCTCGTTGGTTTTCTTTTTCATTGTCTGACATATAATCAATCAAATCGTAAATTGTTTCTCTATCATTTTCCATCAAATATTCAAGTGACATAATGCTTTTACGATGAATATCTAAACTGGATATCGAATCATGTTTGGATCTTGATTGTGAAGATGTTGTCAATAAAAGATCTTGTGGCGGTATTTCCCCAAACAATTTTTCTAATTTTACTGCTCTTTGTAAATGTCGCTTTTTATCTAATGGTGATAACTTTGTAGCAATATTGTTATTATTAAAATTCAATTGTTGTTCTTGTTGCTGTTGCTGGTTTTGTTGATCCTTATGAGAATAATCACCATTCAGTGAATTTTTTTTGTATGATGATAATGGTGGAGGCCTATGTTTTTTACTTTTGGGTTTAACTGCTAATTTTAATTCGCCTGCTGGTGGTGGCAGATAAATCGAAGAATCTTTTTCTCCCAATACAATATCTATAGGTACTCTTTCACCTAAAAATTGGTGAAGTTTTTGCAATTTTTTTCTTCTATATTCCTTCGTGTCTTTGTCAATAACAATCAATGGAATATTGAATCTATTCAAAGGATCATTTAGATCATTATCAATTGTGCTTGTTTTATAATTTTTGTTTTCGTGTGGGCTTTTTGGTGACGTTGCCATCGTTACTTTTGGATTATTGCAATTATTGTTTTTGTCATTGTTATTAGTGTTAGGTGTAGTAGATGTAATCATTGAGTCTGATGCACGTCTACTAATACGTTGCTTGATGTATGATCCCGCGTTGCTAATTCTATTGCGGCCCTCGTATTGATAATTCACCGAAAGTCTATCCGCTTCAAAATACCTTTCTTGACAAGGCGAAGTGCTAGGAGTTGATTGAATTAATGGAAGTTTTAGAGCATGTTTAACCATATTTTCATCTAAAGCTTCTCCGAGCATTATTTGCAATTTCCTATTTTTTTTCAATAAAATCCTTCTATCTTTTGTACTCAATTCATTCGTTGTTTGTAAATTAAAATTATTATTATCACTGTTATTGTTAATGAATAAATTGGCTCCATCGTCATTATCATCATTACCATAATGATGATTATTATGAATATTAGTATTAATTCTTGATAATTCAGTCAGAGCAGTTCTAGAATTTCCTTTATCTTTTATTAAATTTTGCGAATAAAGTTGAGAATCTCTCAATCCTTTTCCAAAAATTGCTTCCAACTTATCAACTTTCTTCTTTCTGTTCCAAGCTTCTTTTGTTGATTTCTTATTTTCAGATATTGTTGAATAGACACTTCTTTTATCATCATCATCACCAAAACTTAATTTACCATCGCCATAAAGATTTCCATCTGGTAATACAACAACTTGATCTTCCGTCTTCTTAACCTTTTCACCAAATAGCCATTTAAGTTTTTTCTCCTTTTTGATCCTTCTCATTTTTTGTGCATTTGTCATTATATTTTCTAAATCAAAATAACCACTTATTGTTGAAACAGAATCATCTGTAACTGATTGACTGTATTCTTGTTCGGCTCGCTTTCCTGTATTGTCAAGGAGAACAGTATCAGGGAAATATTGAGATAAAATGGAATGAAGCGTTTGTTCTTTATAATGATGTGACATTGGTGGTTGATCTGTACCATTATCAAGAGTCGTGGTAACAGCAAGCATAAGCGACATGCTTGGTCGAAAATAATTTTCAAGCTTTGCTGTCATTTCATGATTTTGATATCTTTCAGGTTCTTGCATTTTTATTTTTTCACATTCTTTCCATTCGGAACCATTCTCATATCTGACGAAAGTATGACCTTTCATTAATTGATAAACAGCTTCTTGCGCCTCGTCAAAAATATTCCTTTCTACATCAGAATCATCATCTATTGGCCAAGGAATATCTTTTCTTATCTCGTCACTAAGATTAACTTGTAATGGTGCGTTTGGACTAATGTAAGTTAAATAAATATATTTTGCATATATGACAGCAGTTTGTTGTTCTTCAAAGTAATTATCTTCAATCTCACAAGAAATGCCTGCTGCAAAAAGTTCTACATCTAACCAAAATAATAAGTTTTCTACAGAAAATTCACGAATAGCAAACTTTTGAAAATATTTAATAGCAAGTGTATTAGAAAGTACAGATTGAAAAAGAGCTTCGGATCCTTGAGTATAGTTTAGAGAATTATGGGACATGGCAGCTGAAGAACTTGATGTATCATTTGTAGTTGATTCAGTTGTAGAAAACATAGGAAGCGATGGTAAATGATGAGAATTTTGAAGAGGTAGATTATTGATATTATTATTATCATCATTGACATTTTTCTCGACGTCAATGTCATCATTGTCCTTGTCGTTACTATCATTATCATTAATTGACTCATCAACGATGTTTTCTGTTTGATTATTTTGTGAAATAGGTAAATTAAATCTTTTGCTTTCTCTTGATCTTGATTTTAAAGATAAATCTGATGATAATAAAGATATATTTTCAAAGATGTATCCAAAACTTTTGAAATCGCAATCCTCTTCATCTTCAGCATCTTCAACACCTTCAACACCTTCAACATCTTCAACACCTTCAACACCTTCAACACCTTCAACACCTTCAACATCTTCAATACCTTCAATACCTTCAACATCTTCAAGTGCAATAATGGTTTTATGATTATAACCTTTTAAAAAGTTTAAGAAAATTATTGATTAAAAAATAAACAAAAAATTTATTTTTTATATACTTTAATTAATGATATTTAAATACCTTCATAGATATTAAGCACATTAACAACATCACCATGCTCTAAAACATCGCCTACAAAATCTCTAAAACGTAAAGCAACCATACTAACATCATATAATAATCCAACCTCCAATGGTTCATATAACCCATTATGCTCAATTCCGCCATATTTAAATGCGTATTCAGCTTCTATTTGTCTTGCTAATCTTTCCACTGTATAAGTTTTTTCAACCGTTACAGGAAAAGAAATCGAAGAAGAAACGTTTGCAATTATTTGTAAAAAGGAAGAAATATGTTGAATAGTCCTTGATAAACGTTTTTTGTGAATATGCTTGAATTGGTGAACAGATCTAATTGATGGAGAGGATGAAAGTGACGACGTTGAATTATAAACATTGCTGCTTTTAATGAATTCGGCTGTTTGATTAGATGATAAAGATGATGACGACGATGGTTCGACATCATTATTGTTGCTGTTGACATTTATTAAAGGTTTTGTATAAAATGTTTCTTGATTATTTTGTGATTTGATACTTAAATGTTCTATCGACTTGAATTTACTATTGTTATCTTTAACACTATATACACGACGATGATTCTGATTTGAGGGGGGAGAAGGGGAGGAGGAGGAAGAATTTTGTACTCGACTAAAATAAGAAGCAGGAAGAGAGGAATTTCGGAGGTGCACCATGACATTCCTTCTTGCAACACGTATCGAAGTATTGTTACTTGAGGTTGCAGTAAAATTATTACTATATGACAATACGATGTTTTCAGTAGCCAGCTGATCCATTATTGTTATTAAAAATTTAATATGATAATAAATGCATATAATGTAATTAAATCAAATTTGTCTAATCAAAAAATAAAAAAAGTCTTTTTAAAAGAATGAAATTATTAAATATTAACAAAGAAAAAGGTTCACAAAAATGAAATTTAAATTACTAAAAAATTTTCTTCTTTTTGAGAAAATAAATGTATTACACAATATTAATTCGTTATAGTGAATATCGTTACAACGAATAAATTAATTCCTAATTCATATTATTGGATGATTTGGATGAATGATTGAAACATTTACATCATACTTTTTTTTTTTTTTTATAAAGAAAATTTTTTCTAAATAAACAGTTAATACTCGTTTTGAAAAAAAAAAACCAAATTACAAAAAGAACAATATATTTTTTCTCTCAAAACTAATCATCTTTTAACCAATCACAAATTTACTTGAAAAAATCTTTTTTAACAACAAAAGATTTAAAAGATGCCAAACGTTACCTCAACCATACCTGTCCAAGACGTTAACACCAATAACCCCCCTACTCCCACCTCTAAATCTAAAAAAAATAAGAAAAATAAAAATAAAAATTTGGCTGTTAACACAGAAAAATCTAACAGTAATGGTTCAATTCAAGAACAGTTCTCACCAATTACTCCTGCCACCACCGAAAACAGCGAACTTGAAAACGTTAACAAAAACCCTTACATGGAGGTAATTTATAAAAGATTAAGAGCTATGAGAAAGCGCATGGTATGTTATTATATTTCTTTTATATATATATGAATACAAATCGGGTAAATCAGATAATAGTAATTGTGGTATAATAACAACAATGATATATATATGGATTTGGATATGGATATGGATATGTGTATATGATTGTTTGTTATTTAACATTTATTATATTTTGTGTATAACATGATATTTTTAACAAAGAATAATATTCTAAATATATATTGTTAAAAAATATCTATTTATCTGTTTATATATATACGAATAGGTCAGAGTTGAAAAATATGAAGAAATTGCTAATTCTACTCCTGATGGTAAAAATCAATTAAATGCCGATCAACTTAATTCACTCGAAAAAAAAGGTGAACTTGCTGCAGTGATTAAACAATCCGAAGATATTTTGAAATCAATGGAAGCTGTTGATAAAGAGGTTAACTGCCGTTAATAAAAATTTATATATGTGCATGTATATGTATAAATGTATATGATTGAAAAATATTTTTAATTGACATCTTTCTTTTAAAAATAACACATGAACAGGAGGTCAAAAAAGAAAAGGCACAAAAAAAGACACAACAAGAAGAAAATGAAAAGGCCATTTCTAATGCAATCAAAGAAGCAAAGGTA